GGGGGGGTGGAACGCCGACAAAACAGCAACACGTCTTCAGCACTGCACTTGTAGTTAAGGGACAAATAACAATAACGTCCACCAGGTGTTTGATCAAGTACGCGTCACTCACGTCGAAGTCTGGCATGCTGGGTTCTTTGAACTCGTGCCAGAGCCTCCGGGGGATGACGTCTACCGGGATGTCGTGAATGACGACTCGACTGATGCTGGACATGGTGGGCTGGACGGGACGATCGCTCCGTTAGGTCGACAAAGAGATCAACACTTCACTTAATTTTATTTAATTAAATTTTTCATTTTTTATACTATATTGATCCCTTTAAGGGGGAAATTTGTCTCTGCATTTGACCCATCCCTGTATATAGGGATGGGTGGCCAATGACAGGCGCCCGGGGAGCCTGGGGTTCAGTGTATTGCTCAGGTACCCCCCAAGACAACCCTAGTCGATATCGTAATATCGACGTTCTGGAAGCCCATTTCAGTTTCGTACAAAATACGATTAAATAAATAGTGAACTGGCTTCATTAAGATGCTCTACAATCGTCTGTCTGTCTGTCTCACCAGCTCGGCGGCGATGGTGAGACAGGCGCAGTGCTTCTTGGTTAGTTTCACTTTGACGGCCTTGGCGCTCTGGACCGTCTTCAGGGCTCTGGACAGGTTCTCTGGCGTCACCTCCAGACAGATCTCGTTGTCCTCAGCGGAGACACCCTCCATCTGGTACTCGTCGAAGAAGTTGGCCTGCAAGGAAGGAAGGAAGGAAGGAAGGAAGCACACACCAAAACTCAAATGTCAAACATTCTCTGGTTTCAGCTTCTTTGTCAGTTATGATCGTAAATTCAGAGTCTTGAAGAGAGAGCTGAAGGAAACACAGCGAGTCTCAAACGTCCATTGAGTGACAGAGGAATATCAGAAATCCTGTTTGTCTTTGTTTCTCTCTGAAGAACCATTTTAAAGCACACAGAGCGAGAGAGAGAGAGTTGTTCTTTGAGATGTGATCAGAGGTCTCATCTCTGTCGTCTTCATCCGGTGACGGTTTCCTGAAACAATAGAGCTAAAACCTGAACTCTCACCTGGGACAGTTCACACCACATGCCGACGCCCCCGTTAGCGACTTTACCGGACAGAACGAAGAACAGGTTGTCTGGAGTCAGCCGCAGGACGCACATCTTCGTCAGCTTGGAGATGGTGGTGACGACTCCTGGTGAGGACGAGGATGAGCAAAGTGAACACACACGACGATCAGCTGTTCTTCTTCTTCTCTCCTTCAATAAGAATTCTTCTAACTCTTTTATCTACACGTGAACTGATTCAAACAAAGTGTCACATGACAGTCTTGATGAACTTTATGAGACAAACAAACACAGTTTTCACCAACGAGAGAATTATAGAGCTGCAAATAACTAATATTGTTTTAAAATCAATACTTTTTCACGTTATTATTTTAAAACGTAAATTCTGCATTTTTAATCTAATAATCTCATGTTTACACTAATACAACACACAGAAGAGCAGCAAGGCACATTTTATACAATTATTTGATACATAATTGGCATTAATTCAATTGTTTTCCTGAAAAGAAGTATATATATATATATATATATATATATATATATATATATATATAGTTTTAGTGTGTGTGTGTGTGTGTGTGTAGTGTGTTAGTGTGTGTGTATTAGTGTAATAATTAATAATCATCTCAGGACTGATTCACTACAGGTGAACAACAGTTCATTTAAAGTTTATTTTATAACTACTTCATGATTTAAAGTGAGCTGAACAGAACACTGTCTCCTACACGTCACAACACTAACAGACGTGTTTGAATAAAATGTCTCGTGATTTTGTTTTTAACTTCTTCTGCACAGAAATGTGAGTTTCCGGCGGAAGTCTGGTGAAGCCTAACCGGTTAGCCTCGTTAGCTCTAAAGAGACTTACGGGTGAAGTGGTTGAGACACGCGACGTCGATGATCTTCCCTCGAAACTTCATGATGAGTTGCGACTCAGTGACACGTGACCTCATGAGAGCTTCAGGAGGAGTGTTTTTTAAAGCGCACCGCGTCTATTGGTCCGTCTGCGTCTGAGGTCCGACGGGAAACATCAGCCGACATCAACAATTCCGATTAATTTAGGAACAAACAAATAAAAAAACTTAATTTAAAAAATGGAATGTAGTTTAGAAAAAATAAATATGAATCTCAATACATTTTAAACATTCACACCAGAGTGGAAACAAATCAAAACATGGAAGTAAAGTCTCAAAAGTATAAAATAAAATATTCTTTCTTAACAGTGTGAGTGTGAAGAATTAGAAGTATTTCTGTGGGACAAATAAAACAAAATAAATGTTTTATGCTTCGTGGGAGGAACTAGTTTCATCTCACTAAAGTACAAAGAACAAACTACGATGAACATGATGTGAAGATGGAATGAAAACATGAAAATAAAAGATATATTTGTGTATTTATTGAGTTCAGGTTCAGATTTTATCTTCTCTTCCTGTTTGTTACAAGCTAATCTGAGTCTGTTATAACATGAGAAGAGGCTGGTATTGGTGGTAATAAGGTAACTTCATACATGTGACATTAACTCCCACTGTTATTGAGAAATATGAGTAAATAAAGTGCAGAACTCCATCGTTCCACAGGGAGGAGCTGCAACAGAAAGCAAAGCAGAAACGTCCATTTAAATGTGTTCATCTGCTGATGAACACAACTCATCTGCAGACACACTTTAGGGTCAGAACACATGAAGGAACCAAAGGACTAAACTAAATCCAGATCCAGGTGGAGTGAGGGGTACAGATCCTCTGATGATCCTCTGATCAGATCCAGAGGATCACAGAGATGATGGTGGACTCACTCTGAGTGAGAATCCTTCCATCTGAGGAGAGAAGAAGAAGAAGAAGAGATGAATTTGCAGAGACTCCCTTCATCAGCTGTCAGTCAGTGATGCAGCACATCCAGTAGAAAGAGCAGCAGGACTTCAGTCTCTTCAGCTCTCATCTTAACGTATTGGAGTGAACACACTGAGCTCCAAGCTCACACACCTGCAGACACTTTGGACATCAAGTCTGATCACTCTGCACATTTCACTCAAGTACACAGTGGAGATAAAGAGCTGAGGGTCCTGAATGCATCACAACTGCAGAAACAGAGAGGTGTTCGCTCACTGTAATGATGGGTGCAAAGCTGATAAAAACCACAGTCGCAGTGACATTTGAATGTCTCATCTCTTTGAAATATTCCAATGAGAGAGAACAGATCAGATCAGATTGATGAATGAGGACCACTGTCTCTGTACATGTTGAGATGCTGTCAGCTGATAAATGTGGAAATGTATCATATGGTTCTTTTAGTTATCATTTTTTTCCACCACAAATACTGACGAGGATGGGATCGGACGAGTAATCAGGACTCCGTTAGATGACAGAAGCGCAAATAATAGTTGATTCCTCCCTGGAGGGTGAGAGGCTGTCCTCAGACGGGGTTCGAGATTGCCGCTCCGATCCTGGAACTGGAAAAAGAATTCCACTCGGTGAGAGATTATTTTGTGATGGAACAGACACTTTGATGGGTAAACTTTGGGCTCGCACATTTAGGGGGCTGGACATTTAGAGTTCTAGTGTAACTTGAAGTTTTTATAGAGGTATTGTGTATCCTTTCAAGTTGATTGATTGGACCAGATTGGTTTTGAAGATACCAGAATCAACAGTATCTAGAGAAGGTGGGTGGTAAAAGTCAAAGTTAGTCTGAGCCTAAGCAGCCTGATGCCAAGGTCTTATCTCCAACAATAAAATACATGTGGAACAAAGATAATCAGACGGCCAAACAATTGGAAAATGGACAAAATTGGGGTTCCCTGGAAAAGGCAACTTTAGCCTAAAAAAAAAATTGGATCAACTCAAACCGTGTCTGGAGCAGAGAGGACAAGGCGAAGCAGAAACAGATGAAGGAATGTCCAAGAGGTAAAGAAAGAAACAAATATATTTGAATAAGACATATACAACTGATATTCAAATACATATACAACTGATAGAAAAGGAAAATATACTGCTGTTTTTTGTTTTTGCTTTGTTTTTTGTTTTACATGGTCGAGTGGATCCTGATCTGGCTCCGCAACGCCACTGCTGTATGCTCCCCAGGCACAAACAACATTACAGCCAAAACCCACCAGTCAACACTCCGAGGATGAAGAACTCATCCAAATCTACAGGCACCATGTCAACGCTCACACTACAGCCCATCCATGAACACTGATGACAATATGAATCTGGATTATCTGAACGTGAGACAAAGAGAAAGAAGACGTGAAGAAGAAGCCATGACTCAGGTGGAGAGTTCAAAGAGCAACTTCACAGAATTCAAGAGAACTTTTACCTCCTTTGTGCGTTATTATGAAATATCTGCGGCATTCGCACCAGCCGTAATCGACCTGCAGTGTGTTATATACAACAATGGCGTATAACCATGCAGTGACAGCCCTGACCAAACTTTGTAAAGAGGCTTTTACGTCATCCATGAACCTGGAACACATCACACCTAACAGAGTTGTGTGACATGGAAGACTGCAACATGCAGAACAACAGACAACAAGCAAAGACTGAGTTTCGTCAGCGCAAACCGGAGGATGCCCAGCTGACAATGGAATGAAGCCATGACAGGCGAGGAGGAAAGGACGGATACAACAGGGGCAAAGGAGGAAAACAGAGGGGCAGAGACTTTGAGACACACACACCAGCTGAAAACTTTGTGTGCCAATCCGGGTTAGGGTTAGGGGAACCGTGCTGTAAATACAGCCCAGCCCCCGATGCACTGTCCTTCCCGAGCTCTGCTCCGAGTCCCTCAATGTTCATTCAAACCCTGTGGGTCCTTGGTCCCGAGTTTGGCGATCCATCGCGTCTCGGCCTTCTTCCTCTGTGTCGTGGTCCAAATGTCATTAGTCTCCACGACTGTTATGCTGAGTGCTTCCAGTCCATGTGAGAGAAAGTCTTTTACCAGTGGTGTATGTGTATTCTTTCTCCTGGTGATGTTATATTTGTGTTGTGTGAAGCGTGTGGACAGCATATTACCAGTTTCCCCAACATACTGTAAATTACATTTTTTACATGAAATATTGTAAACAGTTTTTGGTGGAGGGGTCTCCTCGGGTTAAGATTTTAAATATTTCCCCTGTACTATTGTTGCAGAGCCACTGTCTCTGTCTGAAGTATTCTTTATGTACTGTGGGCCTTGGTTTTAGAAGTGGTTGAATTTTAGCCTTTAC